GAGGCAGGTATATCCCTGTGAAATTGAGGCCAGCTTTGTCTGTATAGCATGTTCCTGGCCAGCTGGGGTTACAGGGAGACCCCCCCCCTCAACACGCAAATACACATACACACATACACACACACACACACACATAAACTCAAAACAAAACAAAACTAAACTAAACTAAACTAAAAGATTTTCAAGGGGGCAGGAGAGATGGTTCAGTTGTTAATAGCATTGACTGCTCTTGCAGAGGACCAAGGTTTGGTTTCTAGCATGGTAGCTAACTACCTTCTATAATTCCAGTTCAAGGGCATCTGATGACCTCTTCTGGCCTCATTCAGCATGGCAGACCACTGGTGCACTTGCAGACATGCAAGCAGAAACTCTTAGACACATAAAATAAAAATATTTTTTAGAAATTTAAAACTTTGTCTAAAGAAAAAACAAAAAGTCTTTAAGTCCAAAAAAGTAAAAAAGAAAGCCTGATATAATAAATTTTGCCTTTAGGGGCTGACCTGTTGGCTCAGAGGTTAAAATCACTGGTTGTTCTTGCAGAAGACACGGATTTGAATTCCAGCACCCACATGTCAGCTACAACTGTCCCTAACTCCAGTCCCAGGGGTTCTATCAGCCTCTTCTGACCTCCATGGGTCTTACATGACACAGGTGCACTTACTACATGCAGGCAATACATGCATGCACATAAAATAAAAATAAAATTTAAAATAAATCTTTCTTAAAAAAATTAATTTTGTCTTTAAAAGAAAGGAAAGGTAATACCAGAAAAGAAATATTTTCAATGTGATTTTTCCAAAACTGTATGTAGTTCATTACCTAAGAAGGCCATACTAGTGGGTGCCAATAACTACATCAAAGCACCACACTCACTGAGATAAATACCATCTTATTTGCTGGCTGGGGCATTAGCTTTTAATTCTTTACAATTTCTGCTTATGGCCATGGGAAAGCTCCCCTTTGAAATTTTGAGAGCCTTCTTATCATCAATCTTAAATGTAAATCTTTTCAGCAGTTAGATTTTTTTCCTCTAGTTTACCAATGAAATACAACCTAAGAATAGAACATGGATGGATCAATCTGAAAATTTAACAAAAGCATATAATTTAACTCGTTAATAGACAAAAGATCCTTCCTGAAAGGAAAGAAATATCAGAACAGCAACTAAATTTTAAAGCTCAAAACCAGATGAGAAAGGTGTTTTATTAAGGAAAACAGATGCTGGATTTTTAATAGGATAAGCTAATAATGAGAACTCTGTCTCTTTGCTACCTGCTTCATCAGGAGGCTAGAAAAGGATTTGTTATATATGAAACATAAAGCCAAGTATGCTCATTATACTCTGGTTTTGAGGTATTGGGGAGTTGAGACAGGGCCTCCCTGCAGCCCCAGCTGGACTGTAACTTGTGGGGAGACCTGTCTGCCTGTGTCTCCCAAGTGCTGGGATTAAAGGTGTGTGCCACCATTCTCAACTATAAGACTGTTCTTTAAAGCATGTTGCTTCATATTGTTTCTCATGCTGAGCCTCATGCATACTTGAGCTATATATATCTTCAGCCCTAAACTGTATATTTTATAGACATTTCTCATGTGTGACCCAACATACAATCAACTGAAATAGATTATCGCTATACCACAGGTTTTCACCACATTTCTTCAATCTGAAACAAACCAAAACTGGTATGCATTGTTATAATCATCATTTATTCAAAACCTTTTCTTTCAGTCATTTCTTATCAGAGTCCTTAAAGATGAGATTTGATGAGCACTGACAATTTCAGTTAGCTGTCAGGAATTTATGTTACAGCAGGGATTTTTCAAGTAGTGATGTGGTGCATTGGGATAAGAATCCACAGGAAAAAGAGTTTCCTCCTAGGGGCTCCTGGAGGCTTAGCAAGGGGGCTGGAGCAGGCTTTATTATACAAGCTCAACTAGACACAAATTTAAAACACAGGTTAAGAAGCCAGATTTCCAAACTGGATTGAAATTGAGGAATAAGGTAATAATGGAATCTTATGTATTTTAGAGCAGCGAGTTACCTTGATTGTTAATTGGGAATAGGTTTATAAGCACCCACATCTGCTCTGACAGACGAAGGCTCTGGACTTTATATAATCCAATGGTAATACTGTTACCTTATATTATAGGCAACACTAAGCTGGAAAGGGATATGACTACATATTTGCAGAGCTGTAACTTAGAGTTGTCTATATATTTCCTGACTAGAGCATTTCATGCTTAATGGAAATAAATATATAAGTATGTCAAGAGGCATAGTTTTCATAGCACTTAGTGAAATGTGCTACTACTTCTGAGTAAGCACCAAAGTATTGTTGTTGACGCAGTAATGCTCCCTATCACTGCAGGACTGACACAGGAAAAAGAGAATGTGGTCAAACCACTGCCAGCTCTGAAATTAGAACAGATTTTAAGGAAATATTCAGACATAAACAAGAAAACAGTTTTCTGATATCTGACTTATCAGTGATGATGATCATTCTGAGAGGATTCCAACAAAGACTACAGGCATTCTGACAGTCTTGGTAGTGGCAGTGACTACAAAGCTCAAGATCTATTGGCTCTTGAGTAAACAAAATAATAGTAATAAAAGAAGTATAAATGAATAAAAAGAAGTTTCTGTAGAATGCTGAGTGCTGTAGAATGCTGTTTTCTAGTTATAACCATTACTCTCTTAACCACTGCAGCTTTGATTACCTGAAGGAGACCTGCATCAGACTGGGCCAGTTAGCTTACCTTTAGCAGAGCTGGGAAGGACCCAGGAAGAACCACCTTTCTTGATTAACAAACATTTACTGAAGGATTTGACTCGGGATATCTTGCCCCTACCCAAGATATATACACTGTTACAGACTACTAGGTGTTGGGGGAGCTGGATTAAAAGTCCACATCCCCCTCTCAGTCCACATCTCCCTCTCAAGAATATATAGACAGTTGTGCTAAGAAGAATATATATAATCTCCCCCTTCGGTGTTGTAGTAGCCCATAGGCTGACCATGATCCTGATTGCAACCTGGAAGAAAAAAGAAAGCATCAAGAACAACAACAAACAACAAAAACAAAAACCCACAAGTTAAATTTGAGTAGAATCGTTACTATTTTGTGTCATTGGTGCCCGAGCTGGGGCAAGTAGATATTTGTTCACATTTCCTCAGAAAAAAAAGAGTCCACACAACAATATGCTATACAAAGCAATTTATATTTGAAAACATACAAATAGCTATGCACATGATGTAAAGGACATTTTGGTAATTTAGAATAAATTCTATTTGCAGAGCATCCTTAAAAAGCAGTTTGTTTACCTGGTAAAATGCTTTCACTCTTCTTTCTAGGATTAGTTAAAAAAAAAAAAAGCTTCAAATTAGGTTATAGACTACTCTGTTGGATTGGGAATTTCACACAAAATGTTTTTTTGTTTTTTTGTTTTTTTGTTTTTTTTCCCCTTACAGTTGTATTTCAGTCACGAGTTAAATGTATGCAACATTAAGGATTTAAAGACTTTACCTGTGAATATTTGTCTTAAACTATGATAAAATGTTTTGTTTTGTTTAGCTCATTTTCCCTCACTTTACATACATTAGTTTATCTCAGCATTACAAAAGTGTTCTCTGTAATATAATTTTTTTATTTAAAGAAACAAGTAAACTGGAAGAAATAAGTCCAAAGGAGCTTGTGAATTTTAATACATGTCTCTTTGCCTGAAGAATATGTGCTGCCTCCATGAAGAATTCACTAAACTGTTTTAACCACTTGATCTATTGTCTATGAAAACACATATAATTTTTATCTATTTTCATTTTCAGACAATAATGTTACTATTCACTTTAATGCCTGAATTCTATGCTTCAAATCACTGCTTGGTTTAAAAACCTGAGGTTCAATCACCATCCATTCCTAGTGTCCCAGTTTACTGGGACATGTATTTTTTCCAAGCATTTGTCTTCTTTTTGAGACATATATTTTCATGAGGTTTAACCCAGGGCAAGACAACTTTATTATTTACACTTTATGTATAAGCTTCACTATTTGGAAAAATGTGCAAAGTTTTTTTTTTTCTTTTTTTCTTTTTTTCTTTTTCTATTGTCTGTTTTCCTTTGAAGCATCAAATAGGATATTGATATTTTTGGCACTTATGCTATTTACTTACTGTGACTTAACGAGCCGTTATAAAGTGAGCCATACTCCCACTGTGCATTTCATACAACTATTACTCGAACTTCTTTTCAGAAGGATTTATTTACTAATCAATATCGTTCTTATTGTGCCATTTCCAGAAGTACTAAAGAGACTTCCCTTCTGAAACAGGCTTTTACCGCATTGGTTGGCCATTCCTCAAGAGTTCAGCTGTTACTACAGCGATCCTCAAAGGTGCATCATGCAGTTCTGTGAGGTGGTTGTGGTCACCATTATTTTTGAACATTTACCAGGAAGTCCAAGTCCTCTCAATTGTGCAATAAGTAAAACGTGAAATGTTCTAGGAGTTTCAAACTAAACCCGAAACTGCTGGCTTTAGTGAAAAAGATCATGCCAGGACATTACTAGATTTTCTAAGAAAAATTTTTGAAAGATTATTTTGCCTAAGAAACTGTAGATACTGGATATATTTCATGTTTACCATTGACAAATATAGCGGGATTCTTTCTTTTACATCTCTTAAACTCAGAATGTTGCCCTGACTTGTAATAAGAATCAGTGAATTGTGCAAGGAGTGCGCACAGAATTCCTCTGGAAAGCAGCATGTTTCGCGTGATATACATATTCTGCAGGTTATTTAGGGGTTGCAGAGGGGCTGTGACCTTTCTCTCCCAACTGCAAACAGATTATACAGAGCTGATTAACCTAGACAAAAACACTGCGTTATTTGCTCTAATGGTGAGTCTCTGACAAATCTCCCTCCCTCAGGCTTCCCACTTTATTCACTTGCAAATCGCCCTGCCCTAAGAGATCCGCACAGCCCCATCCTCAAACCTGGAGCCCTGCAGCGCCATCAGCTGCAATCTCTTCTTACGTGAGGGACGTTTCTTATTAATCAGAAACGCGGAATGGAAGCCAATCAGAGAGTTCCTTTAGCTTCAGATTCCTGCCTGATTTAAAAGTGGTGCTGAAAGAGGCACAGTGAGAAGCAGGAAGATTCAGCTATGAAGACACTATAAAAAGAGAGGAGGAACCAAACAGAACCAACAGCAGAACTCTCCCTGCTGAGTGAGGCTAAATGCAGGTCCGCTACTAAACAAGGTAAGTGTTATATACCTTGCTGGAAAACAGAACCCAAGCTGTTTTTGCTGTCTTATATCATAGTATAAATACTGCTCTTTTACTTGAGGTGTTTTTCTGTGCAGCTCTATTCTCTTTCAATATTTGGAAGCAGGTGAGAATGGTTACATGACATTTGAAAAAAAAAAATTTAAATGTGCAAAATCAAAATATGTAGTATTTGCTTTTTATTTTACTTTTAAAAATTTGTGATATCTACCATGCTCGTTTTACAGTCCTGAAATGCTCTTTTGGATTATTACTGAAAAAATAAAACCAAAGTTCAAACTGTCTTAAATCATACTTGTGGCTTTGAATTTCTCAAATATAAACATGATTATATGCATTATTATACTGATTTAAATATATGCCTAGTTTTCTCATAACTTTTGCTAATTAATTTGAATTAGATCTGTGAATTTGTAAAAGCATTTTTATTCATAATTTAATAAGAACTGATTGTTTCTTTAAATAGCAAAAATGATATGTAGATAGGAAATGTGTCACAGATGTAAATAGACATTTTATGTTCAGATTAATGCAATAATGTTCCCCGATATAAGGGAGTCCTATAACATATTTATTTCTAACTCACATAATTGTAATAAAAATGTATCTCAATGTTGAAAGATTTAATGAAAACCTGGGAAAAGGTCTGTCAAAGGCAAATTTGGGCATTTGAAGTTTGAAGTGGCATTGATTTGACAGAACATTTTTGTTTTGCCTTTCCATTGCACAATCAGTATCACCATTCAGATCAAGTAATCTCTTGCAAGCACAAGAATCTTAAAAAATGTTTGATTATTTTACAGTACTGTTTATAATGTCTCCAAAATGAGATATTTATAGACACTGTAAAAAAGACGTTCTCAGAAAGTGTTCTACATTAATATTGTAGGATGAAAGAAAAGTTATGAAGTTTAGCAAATAAGTTTACATTTATTTGTCTGATCAACTTCGATGACAATGCAATAGGCTATAGGTTTGTGCAGATATTGGTGGTCTTTTCTGGAGATTTATTGTCATTTCTTATGTGATAAATACAGGAGATTCTTAAGCATTTTAAAAATAACATCCCCGTCATCGAAAATCATTCATTTTGTGATATTAACAAAGTGATAGCTCTTGTATGAAAGACTCTCCATTTGGTTGCACTTAGGGATATCTAGAAATCAGAAGAGTTATGTCTTTTATGTTCTCAATTAGACTAAAAAGATAGCTCCTGAATCTGATAAAATATGAATACTATTTTCAGTTCAGGCACTGATTCATTGCCTAGGCAATGCTCTGTCAAGTGAGGAATGCATCCCTGTAACTATGAAACCAGTTAATGCTGGATTGAACAGATCCTGTGAAAGATAAGAAAATGACAAGCTACTCCAACACAAATCACCAAAGAACTCAGATAGAAATGAGCATCATGTGCCTTGGGTTCTGTCAGCAAATATATCATCAGTTCAACAAAAGTTTTCTCAAATGTAGAGTACATAAACCATTGAATGTTTTTAATAGAAATACTTTTATATGTTAAACCACCATTCTCATATGTATTTGTATGTTTTCAAAAATGAGAAAGCTGAAAGTATAATATATGTTATAAGCAAATTGAGTTCTAGCAATAATTAATGGAGAAATACATTAGAGTAAGCAGGTAGTGATGCCAGTTTAAAAGAATTGCACATAATTTCATGTTAAACAGATTTAGTAATTCTAGTAAGTCAATAGTTACATAAGATATTATTTTCTAAGATGAAAAATACATTTTCACATATTACACTACTAGTTATTTGAAACAGAATTTGAAATGGTTTATGCAATTGGATCATTATTATTATCTTATTGCTTAACCGAAATAAAAACACCTTGTAATGTCTCTATACCCACCATAATTCAAAGTGGATGTCAAATTATGCTTTCGAATGTTATATTGCTTGACATGATACATTGCATGTAGATGAGAATCTCTTCTGAATGTCACCTTGCAGGGAGAGGTGTCATTTTTGTATTTTCCTGTGTTCCACCTGAAACATAGCTTAGCCGATCCATTATCGATCCTATGATATTCTCACCAGGTGAGATCACTTTAGTGGGATTTTTTTTACTTATATGATTATCGTTCCTCTGCTATCACCAGCTATAGGAGGCAGATACTCCTTTCCACACTAATCCCACATAGTAGGAGGTGAGCTAAACTAAAGTGCTTTGGCAAATTCTTAAAGTTATGCAATGTAAAGTATGTAAGTAACAGGGCACTATAACACACATTAAAAAAAACTAATTAAAGTTAATTGGAAAAATGCATATGATTGTGTCATCAGCGAACGTTGGCTGTGAGTTGTTCTTTGTGGAAGTGAGCAGTCTGGTTGGATCATTATTAGGCATTACAACAGATGCTTCGTGTAACTGATCATTAGTTTGCATTATTTTAAGACTTTTTGCTCGAATGCACATTTGTAATATAGAATCAAATTACATTTGAAAAACGTGTGATGCTTTAAAATATGTAAAACATTTTGAATATTTATACTTCCAAATTTAAGTACATATTTATATTTATGTAGTGCCATAATTCAGGACTAAAAGGATAATTTAATATTGCTTGTTTTAAATTTAATTTTTTTCAGATGCTAAATTTTGAAATGGGACCATTTTAAATTGTGTAAATAGAAATATTTTCTAATATATAAAAATTTACTTTCTCTGTTTTAAAAAAGAATTGTCTCTTAAATATGTCCCAAATATCTCAAAACCAGTGATGGTCTCTTAACTTGGAACTTACATAAAATTCTAAAACTTTAGATATAATTAATATTTTAATTTCTTCCATGAGAAAGCTGAGGTTTGGAATATTGGGTTATATATCCAAATATGTTGAATTGTATATGAAAAACTTCGCATGCTGTCCAAAAATATAAGAAAATTTTGATAATTTCATTATAGATAGAGATGATAGATATAGATAGGTAGATAGGCATGGAGATAGATAAACAGGTAGATAGATGATAGTTGATTGATTAGATAGATATTGATAGAATGGATAGATTATAAATGGATAGATAGATAATTATTATATAGAACTATATAGATAATAGATAGGTGATAGATTGATGATAATAGGTAGATGATAGATAGATGATAGACAGATAGATGATAGATAAGTAGAAGATAGAAAACTGATAGATGATAAATAGATGATAGATTGCAGTAACTGTTTTATACTGTTAAATGTCCTGACAAAGATTTGTCTTTAATAGTTATTCCAATTTCTCTTCTTGGAAGCAACATTATACTCACCACTAAAATATGCTAAGGAGTGCACAGTGAAGAGTGTCCTTTCAGTGCTTTTAAATATTTCTATTGCAGTTGTAAAATGTTAATGTGCTTATTCCTAAATTTAGCACTCTTAGCAATGGCCTTATAGCCACATTATAAATGCAAAGTGTTGGAATATATGCAGTCTCTGGAGCCTGACCAAAAGATTTTAAAGAAACCCTGTCACAAAACAACTACCTAAATATAGAAATAATAATAAGTTTTTACTATAATTTTCTTCTTGAGAATTTTATATATCTGTACAATGAAATAAGATCATATCCCCACCCCATTTCCTACCTCCATGTCCCCCCATATCCTCCCAACATTCCCCCCCCAATTCATCTCTTCTTTCTTTTTGATAACCCACTAAGTGCGATTAGTGTTGCCCATATAAACATGGATATCAGTTAGTTGGTTAAAGTTCTTGTCTTGTAATAGAGGATTTTATTGAGTGGGAATCGACAATAGAAATTTCATGGGTTGTTATTGTTAGTTTCTCTCTCTCACTCGCTCTCGCTCTCTCTTGCTCCCTGTTCTATCTATGACAAATTATAAATCAATCACAAGAGGAATTAAATGATCTCATATTTTCTATTTATCTTGATGAGCAAGAAGATCTGGTCTTTTTAGTTATAAAACTTCAAGATTGTTTTATAAATATGGATTAAGATATCTTTCTCCTCATACTATTTTTGAGTGGGTTCTACAATTATGCAAAAGCATGGGTGACTTCATTTTAGTTTTTTTACCCTAAATAATTATTACAACTTTCAGAGGAGACACTAGTAACTAGTCTTTATTATTTGAAGTTTCAGGTGAAAGGTTCAATATGTTCTTTGATACACAGGAATAAGTTCCTGTATCTGGGAGAATTTTATTAGAATATGCAGATCCTAGAAGAATGTACAGTGCAGAATGGAACTTCATATTTTTCCATACATATTCCTAGAAGAGTCATATTTAACAAGAAACTATGTCACAGGAAGGCATTCCAACTTAGGAGAGAACCATTGCATGTAACGATATGTAGTTATGGCAAATAAACACCAGTAATTCCCATCATGGGGCCAAAGTCATTATAGGGACCAGCAAGATGACACAAAACGTAAAGGAGCTTGCCTGAAAGTGACCCCCAGAACCCATATGGTAGAAGGAGACTATCAACTTATGCAGGTTGTCCTCTGACTGCCACATATCTGATTTGGCACACATGCACACCCTTTTGCTCTCACCAAATAAATAAATGCGATAAAAACTAATGAAAACATATACTCCCTTTGTAAAAGTGGGCATTACTCATAAACATTCCTTTTTGGGGCGGGGGGAGTACAGTTCGAGTCAGGCTTACCTATAGCCCCAGTTAGCCCAGAACTCAATGTGTAGATCAAGTGGCCTAGATCTCACAGTGATCTACCTGCCTCTGCCTTCCTAGTGCTGGGATTAAAGGTGTGCCATGCCCATCAGTAATAAGCATTCTTAAAGAAGTTTTTTTTTTTCTTCTTCATTAGAATCCCTTATAGATATATCTTTTGTACACAGCCCAAGTACTATAAAAATGTCTTATAAGAGCTGAAGTATTTCCCCAAATAGTCACATAATATTCTTGATATTCTTGTAAATATTTTACAAGAAATGAGAATCTATTTTTAACTTTTATTTGTAAGACA